AGTTCTGATTCAGCTAAGCCCACCTCATGGACGCACTGCCACCATTGACCAATGCTTAACCACAGGCCCTTATATGCTGCAACCATTGGTATTAACCACAGCAACTTTGCTACAGAGTTTTTTCTGGACGCTTCAAACTCTATAAACTCTGTGTCTCACATGCACCAAAAGGGAGCCCGCTGCTTTTTTTAATACTCCACTGAAAACCTGAGTCCATTCTGCCAAGACCATCCACATCTTTACATCTTCTCTAGAAGCTCAACATTTTGTTGTAGTTCCATCCCCCTAGGAGGACTCCTATTGCTCATCCTGACAGCAAATGAGTCTGTGAACCAAGCAGCTTCCTGACAGCAGTTTATGGTCTCTCTTATATCATCTTAAAAGATTGTGTTGCAAAGGTTTACCTAGAAAATCTGACATCCATAGTACTGGATCAATAATTGTTAAAAACACCCACAAATCTAGCAAAGGACAATCGATAGAGAGGCGGAGCCATAATTAAAGCGTTTGTTCTCCAGAGCTCCTTCAATAGTTAATTACTCTGCCAATTAATTTCTATCTGGGTTTCACCTATGAATACAATTATGAATATGATTCCTTAGATTTATGTTGTAGGGTAAAATGAAGCATCATATTGCTCAGCTTCCAGTCTTCATTCCAGCAGCATGAAATCCAAACACAGACCTGATTGGCATCATTGTCTCTGTCGAATGTTAGAATTAACAGGAAAGAAAGAAACCGTTAAAGTATTGGATTGAACTTAATTCCACTCAAACATGCATCCCTTAAAGTCTGACTAGGTCAGCTTTACATGGATTCCATATTGCCATAAACTTTGTACTTGTTTGAAAATGTTATTGAACACTAAATAATCTTTATTTAACTTCTGAAGTTCAATATCATTAGGTAATTCTTAAATAACTTTAATATTTGTGTTTTGCCATCATAGCATTACGGTAATACCATGTATCACTTGGCATGAGGCCAGTATGACCAACTCCGCAGGATAATATGTTACCATTCCCTACTATATGATCTTCAACCGTTTCGATCAACCACATTTACCTTGTTATGGAGATTTCATGAACTGTCAAATTCTTTCATGACATAAAAATGTTTTATGCATAAAATGAGTGGCCAAGTAACCTCACCTCACCAAAACCCCCAAAGATCTCACTAAGTACCCATTGGCCTCAATAAGATCTCACCAAGACCCAAAGATCCGGCTCAGATCCTGCAACCTTCTGCTTTCCGGTTTCCTTTTTTATTTTTCCAAATAAGATCGTCATCCAACAGAAACAGGTTTTACAAAAAAATATTAAGTAAAACTGAATACTTGCAGCTTAACTTACAAATTAGGAACATTTGCAAAGGGGTTCATTAACAGATGAAGTCAAAGCAGAAAAAGTTCTAATCTTTTTTTTCTTTTGCTTCTAATCTAGAATAATATCCAAAAAAGAATGAATTCAAAGCTCCGAACCTTTCCTGTAAAAGAGACATATGTGGTATTCCACACAAAACGAAATGGCCAGAAAGGAGAAGTTATCAGAAAGGTTTGTGTCAATGAGCATGATGCCAGTTGGGTCTGAACAGAAAACAAATAGCATCCTATTTTTGTGCTACTCTGACAGATCAGACTGAGCAGCTAGAACTGAATATATTTTTCCCTCTATTCGTCTGTTGTCTGCCAACTTCTTGCCGCCTCCAGTAATTCCCTTGATTTCTTGTCCCCAGGCCTTTCTATCTTCAGTAACGCCAATGTGAAACCTGTGTTTCCCTCATTTGACTCAGTGGAAGTGTGATGTTTACATGTACAGATTTCTGCAAACCTCCCTCGCTGGATTGTTTTACTTTTTTATTTGCCTCCTCGCCTCGGTGTACCCACCCTGCTTCCCCCCTCCTCTATCCATCTCGCCATCCTTTATACTGAAGAGAAAAGTGACTGTGTTAAAAAGACCATAGTCAGCATTTTCCTGAAGACATGCTAAACGTACAGAAACGTCACCCGGTTGAAGCTGACGTCAGCGAGGCATCCTGGTACTGAGGTTGGGTGGGGTTCAAAAGTGTGCTGGTTCGTCTCCGTGAGTGGGTGGGCACACAATCACAGTGGGGCCACGGCGGCCCTCTGCTGGCGTTACCCAGTCCAGAAAAGAGAATGAATTCCTCAGCGAATGATAAGCCATTACAGACCCAGTGTGTCGGGTCTCTTAGTCTATTAGTATATTTAGCAGAAGTTTAAAAAAAAAACTCAACCTCAGGAAATCATGTTTTTGTAAAAACCAACCCCAATGAAGGCCCATTTCCCTGTCTCTTTGATACCATATAAATTATATCAAAAATTCTTTTTATATTTATTGTGTTAATTATATTTACCAGTTGATACCTTTTCTCTAGTACCTGTGCTTGAATATTTGGATTCTTTAGACAAGTCTTGATAACATACATGAAGGGGGAACAAGACAAAAAATAAAATCTGTTGGGTTCTTCTTTCTATTAACTCCCTGGGAGAAGTTAGGTTTGCCCAGAAATGCGAACATATCACTCTGGTCCATGAAGAAAAGCAAAACAATTATTAAAAAAGAAACTTTACGTTGTGTGATGTCATTGCTAACAATGAAATGTTCCTGGACTTGAAAGATTTGCGACTGTTTAAGTTTGTTCAATTTGTTTTGTTCGGTTTCCTCCTGAGCTGTATGTCACGAAGCTAAATATACTAATAAAACAGTGTGCTAATTATGGAAAAGGCCTGTCTTTTTTTAACAGGAGAACCTGAAGGAAATCTCTCAACTGCTTGAACAAAATGTTTTGGTGTAACCAAGAAACTGATGTAAAGAATCTACTAAAGAAAAGGGAATCATGTTGCCACCAGTGCAGAGCTTGCTCAGGAAGAGCCCAAGGCAAGAGTAGTACTTTGAGGCAAAGACATGTTAACCTGCGGCCGAGATGAGCAAAGATACCTTTATTTTTTTTTTTACTGTTTTAGACAGCCTTAAATCCTTCAAGAGGTACAGGGATCGGAGTTCTAAACATGGAGTTAGGTTGCAATATGCTGGTGAAGAGTCTCAGTCATCCAGGTCATAGTCATTCCAAAAAAGTAAAAAAAAAAAAACAATTCACTTCACTTTGTTTCCAAGTTTTAAGACATGTCGCTTCTCATCTAGGAAGCTTTTCAATTCAAAATGTCAGAAATAACATTGAGTTTGAGGCTTTATAGAGTGGACCAAAAACAAAGCCTGGTTCTGGCTCAGAAAACAGGTGGTTTGAGAGGGGTGTGAAGGAAGCCATCTATGTTAAGAAAAAAGCAACCTTAAACAGAGGGGGTGGACTCAGGTTTCACCTTTCAGAAACCTACAATTCAGCGATAGAGTTAATTCCTTCCCGCTATCATCGCAAACCCCGTCCCCATCAGGGGCGAAGCTAAATGGGGGGGCCAGGGGTGGCCATGGCTGCCCTTACCCAATCATTAGCCACCCCTACCATTTTTTCCCTCTAATACAGATGGTGGCAACAGTAATACTTTCAGGTGAAATATTCAAAACATTTAAATTTGTTGTGGTTAATTATACACATCAATATACTAACATCAAAGATGATAAATACAGATTTCATGCTCTTTTCAGAACTAGATTTTGTGTTATATGGGGTAAAGAGAGAATGTGTCTCTGCAAGTCATCTGGGAGTCTTCATTGAAGTAGATAAAAACTATTTTAATACAAATTTTATGTAGATATTAGTGCTTTTAAATATCAATTTTATGTAGAATGTTTATTGGTACAAGAAGGTAAGTAATGATGGTGGAAAAGATTTACGCCCCAGAACTCAAACCTGAAAGAGTTTTATCCACTATTCCTTTTATTTAGAAAGCACGGATGTTTAAATATATGCATCTACTTGTTAGCAAAGGCTGTAGGAAAGTATAGTTTCTCTTTATTTAGAAAAGATGGATGCTTTGCTTGTTAATTTTCCTGTTGGAACAGTGTAGCTTGACCCTTAGGTTCTGGCGCCTATCTGCTTTCGGCCCCCCCTCAGTGTACATTGGTTATTGCCTGGCCACCCTCATAAAAATGTTCTGGCTACGCCTCTGATCCCCATACAGGAGAACAGAACACCACCTCTGTTCTCCCAGGGCAACAAGTCCCTTTAGCGACCCCCTTTCAGAGACATAGACAGGTATCAGGTATTACAGGCTAACATAGAAACAAAATGACCCCCATTCCAAAGGGGTGGACCCATTCATTCGGTACAATTTGCATGTTTTCTAAACCAAAACAAGGCTTTTCTTTGGTCCAAATAAAACCTCAGACTCATCACTGTTTCAGACATTTTCAATTGAAAAAGCTTCCTGGATGGGAAGCGAAACGTCTTCAAACTTTGAAACAAAGTGGGTTGTTTTTTCTTTCACTATTTTGGCTGCAGTTAGGTTCTCCTCTAATTAAGGTTGTGTTGGACATCTGGGAAATAAATCAGTGGAAGAAAAAACCAACAGCAGCATCATGGAAACCAGGATCTCATTGGCTCTAACGTCCCCCAACAGCAGCATTGCATAATGATCTTTTGGTGATGATTTAAGCTCTTTCCAGCTTGATAGACCAAATTTCACATATAATACTAAAGATTATTCATTAAAACATAATAACCCACTGTCCATAAAAGTAAGGCTTTTGTTAGTTGAAGTAGAAACGTCTTAACTTAGGTGGTCTGTGTTAATAAACGTGCATTTTTAAATAAAAAGTGTAATTAACAATTTAATTAGACAGAAACATACAGTTTGAATCAAAGGTTATTAATTTGTTTGCAGCAGTTTACTCTTTAAATCTTGTTTTCCTAATATTAAAAGGACAGGGTGGAGCACATCAGTTGATATGACACTCCTTTATTTACTGAACTGACTAAACAGAAACGTTTCCTGAGAGGAGAAAAAATAAAGACTGTTACTTTCACCCCACCCTGCCTGCTGCACCTCCTCCTCCTCCTGCTCCTGCGCAGGTGTGTGTTGGAGAGGCCGGACCGTGAGCGCAGCGCCAAACCCAAACCTTTTTACGCAGCCTTCGTCCTGCAGCGTCACCTCTGCACTTCCACACCTGAGCATCAGCGGCTGCAGCGGCGCTCCTGCTGTCCTCCCGGCCTGAGATGGATTGATCTCCCCCCAGGGAGCCATGCTTCATCCCGCTGATCATTTAGGATCGCGGTACCGAGTCCTTGCAGGGAACCTTGCCGCCTTGAATGGACCAGATTTCCGCATTCCCGCAGCCGCCGTGCGCACTGCGGGCGCGGAGCTCAGATCCATGATCTCAACAGAAAAGAAAACCGGTTCCTCCAGCTCTTCTGCCCATCCTTCGCTGGTCCTTCTTGGTTGTTTTCACCGGCAGAGGCGGACAGACCTGCTGCTGACAGGGTGTCCTCGGCCGGCTTTGGTTCTCCTTTAACGCCTGCTTCATGTCCCAGGATGGAGGACTGCTGCCGCTCCTGCTGTCCCTGCCTGAACCGGCTCTGGAACCGGATCTGGCCAGACATCCGCTACCCTCCGGTTCCCAATCTGGTCATCGCCAACCCGGCGGCCCATCCGGCAGAGATCCGCACCATTTCTGGTGACATCCGCGCCCCGTCTCCCAAGAAGCGGCCGGTGCAGCTGTACGCGGCGCTCTTCGACTTCCAGGCCCGGAGCGACGACGAGCTGACGGTGAAGGAGGGGGACAAGCTGTCGGTGATCGAGAAGAGAGGAGACTACGTGCTGGCCAAGAAGCTGACCGGCTCTCCGCAGTCCGGACTCATCCCGGCCAACTACGTGGCTCTGCTGCAGGACGAGTTCGCCAAACACAAGTGAGTCCTCCCAGCACACCTGATTCCTCATTATTACACAAGGACATCAGATTATTGGTGTGTAATCTCTCCTCTCACCTGATGGATGATTCTCAGCGAGTTAAAGACTTCAGACTGAAGGTGGAGGGCATTTTCTGACTGTTGAAATAGATCCTGTGGTTCAGGAGAATCATAATCACCTGAGAGTCAATGGGAACAAAGTGACAGTGACCCAGATTTGACCTTTCTGCTCTCAGAGAGCTGTTGACACTCAAATGTCACTGAGGGAGAAAATAATCCGGGAGAAACTCAAAAGTTTGCTTTGGCTTCAGGAGGTTTGCATGAGATATGCACCGAATAACAAGGCATAGGGGCCAATTTGCCCTCCAACTGTGATAAAAAAAAGGAAAATTAACATTTTAAGCCCTAAACCTTGAAATGCATTAAAAAAAATAATTTTAATAACTAAAGACTTTTTAAAGGGTGTTATCCCCAGAATAATTTGGTTTTACCCAAATTAATGCAAGAAACTGATTTTTTTTTTTTTTAAACCAACAATAAAGCACAAAATTCTAATCTAAGAAAGCTTGTTACTATAATGCACAACTTCTCAAATGCTCTGATTAAAACAACATTATTTGTTGCCCTCGGGTCTTTTAAGTTGGGGTGTCATTAAAAACAATGTTTAAAAACACAGCCCAAAGTTCAAAAAGCCTGGAGGGTTCGTGAAATAAAAACGAGACAAAGCATATTGAGATGATCTCACATTTGAATTGTTAATGCTGTGGTTCTCAATTCTCATTCTTAGTGCTCCCTTCTGCATGTTTTAGTTATGTTCCTGCCAACATGCCTGATTTGAATTATAAAGTGACTTACTGTCCACTTGAATCAGGTGTTCTGCAGGAAAGACGCACCTAAAGCATGAAGGACAGTGAGCAACGGTGGTTTAGACTCTCCATGTTACTGGTTTTAGAAACAAAGAGCTGCAGGAAAATAGAAGACAGCTGGTCCTGCGGGGGATATATTTGCATTTTATGCTGCTCTTCGCTCCTGAGATGGCTTCAGGGTAAAACAGATTATGATCCTTTGCTTCAACAGAAGTTGATCAAATCTGGCTTTAAGTGTGAGGTCTTATTTAGTCAGACTTTGCCTTCAGGGAGACTTTCTGTCTGCAGCTTTGAACCCCCCTGGATGAGTCCATTCTGCACTACATGAACACTGATTATCTCAGCTTAGCAGCAGAAAGGCTCTGCTGAGATTATTGCTGCTGGGAGTCTTGGCCAACTTCAAGCTTGGATTTGGTGCCTGCTCTCTAAGTCATCTTCCTTTTTTAATAAAGTACCAGGCACCCAAACTGACTGCTCTCAGCAGTACAGCTGATAATGATGATAACCATGCATGTTATGGATGCCAGTAAAGTTTCTTTTGTTTGTGCAACAGCCATGTTTCATCAGAATTCAGGGATCCTCAGTGGAAACAGATTGTTCTTTTTTTAGCTGCTTTTATAAAACATTCAGACTATTTCCCTTCATTTTCTAGAACTCAGACAGCAACCTTTTCAGCATTCAGCCTCTATCATGAGCACAAAGGGCAGTGAGCGTTCGTACCAGCGCCCTACAGGTTTCCAGCTATCAGAACGTGAATTAATGGCTCTGCAGAGTATCTAATCCCTTCATTTATTACTGCAGCCTGATAAAATTATTACTCCACATTAGACTTTTTAAATACTGTCTTTCTTAATCTGAGTTAATCCAAGACTTCTTCAGACAGCAGTTATTTCTCTCCAATCGATTCATTTCCTGTTGAGACAAAAAAAAAGAAATTTTTTCCCTATCTTTTGACATTAAACGCTGAGTCTTCATGTTTTAGGCCAGGTTCTATGTCCATCTGTTAATTGAACCCATAATAAATGTATAAACCAGAGATGATTATAGTTATTGATTAAATATGAAGCAAGACATGTGATTGGAGAATGCTTTAAAAAAATACTTCCATGGGTTTGGATTTCATCTCACTCTGATGTCACGGTGTATAAAGTCAACATTTGGGCCACAAAAAAGTGGCAAATCAAATATATTTTGCATTTAGATCTGTTTGACAATAAAATAGATCTGCAACAATTTCAGACGGTGAAAAATACTACGCATTTGGTAGAAAATTAATCTCTATGTACATTTTTTTGAAAATAAAAAGGATCTCTTATTTTTTAATATATAATTTATTTAGATTCACATTTTTTTAACTGGCCACAACAACAAAACATTTTAACCTCTTAAAAGGCACAGATGAAATCAACTGCTGTTTTTTTAACCTTTGGTGGGTCTAGCCTACCGTATAAAAGCGTCGTCAAGGTGGACAGTAGCCTTATTGCGGCAGCATGAGGCTGCCAATTTTGAGTCCCACCGATGGGACGTGATTAAGATTGAATTTGTTTTATCAGAAACAATTCAAGCATGGTAACATTTATAATATTGTTTAAACAATAAATAAGAATTTTAAGTGTTACCTGAACTCTGGTACCAAAAGTCTGCTCCAAGATGGAAGATAGCAGGTTAAATCTTCGCTGTCAGCCCCTCAATCCTCCTGCTTAATGCTAATAATCTTAAACCACCCTGCAGCTGGATGTTAAAAACGTTGACACTTTGAACATAAACTGTTAAGAAGTAAATTGTGCATCAAATGTTTTAACCTAAAGAGGTCAGTGGAAGAGTTGTCCTCGCAGTCAGACGAAAAAAAAAAAACTTGGGAATGCAGAGTGGGAGATTAATCAAAGTGAAGATGTTGGGATGTTTCTAGACTCTCAAGAAAAAAAAAATGTATTTGCTTCTCAAGTGTACAATATCGATAAAAATAAAAGTTTTGGTACAGTAACCAATCAACCATTGGTTAGAAATTGAGGCGATCAAAACAATTAGTCCAAAAACAAATCAGGAAATGTTTATATTCAATTGAGATGATTAAATTAGGAAGCTTTTAATATTGATCTGCTGATTTTTCTGTTCTTTTAAATCGGTTTTATCCCATGATCATCCTACAGCAGCATCTTCCTGTGAAGCTGGACTGCAGCTGAAAGTAGCTGAGAGCATACATGCTTCCAGCGCCCTGCAGCTGTGGCTCCTCCATTATTTATCCCGCCTGCATGCAGTCATCATGTTTCAGCAAAACTCTTTAAGGTCAACTCCTGTTCACACTGCAAACCCAACACACAATCCTGGGATAGCAAACACAACTGTTCCCACTGTGGAAAAAACAACAGGGGATGTTTGTGTCAGACACTGAAACAACAGGAGCTTATAAGAAAATCTCACATTTTTATACATATTTCTGAAATAAGATTCAAATATTCAGCAAAACCTTTTCATGAAAAGGATTTTCAGTGAAAATAAACGGAATCATAGGTATTTTAGCATTTAACGTACTTTTTTATAGATTTTTTTATATACACGTGTATTTTTTGTGCATTAGACTAATTTACAGCTGATTTTACATCCTAAATGAGGCCATAGTCTCCTGGCTTTGTCTCCTCTATAGCTCCTGCTAACAGGGCAGATGAGGCGGCCTTCAGAATAGAACAACACAGGAAGGCTGAGACTGACAATGATGATGATAGTCAAGGGAGATAGATTATGGTTGGTAATCAAGGTAGAGGGTTCTGCTGCAGAGAGAGATGTGCTCCGGTCTTCCCTCTACCACCATGCTGCAGGACAAAGGGTCTTAACCCTGTAATGCCAAATGTATCATATTTGATACATACAGTTTCTGAAATGTTTTGCGTCTGACACCTTTTGCATAATTTAATGGTAAAAACTTTGCTCAAAATCCTATTGTACACAATCAGATATACCTGATAACAGAGGGCAGAAGATTACACAAAAAATAATCTTGACTTATCGCATAGTAATAAATTATTAATATCAAAAATGTATTTCTGTTTTTTCTTTTTACATATTTTGTTAAAAGGCCAAATGAGGACTTCAAACCAAAAAAAAGTAATTTTCTGTTTTGTTTTATTCTTGGATCGGGCTTTAAAGGGTTAACTGACCTGGTACTGTGGAAATCAGTGACATCCTGTATGTTCAGATCATAGCTGTCATGAAAACTGTCCACAAACAAGCAGTTTCCTTCATGTTGAGGTGGAGTTCTGGGGACCAAAGCTGGGATCCGGATGGACATAAATCCTTCAACAAGGAAAATCACAAATACATAAAATACCTTTTGGTTCTAATCTGATGATTAAACACACAAAAGATCACAGAAAACAAATAGGTCTGGTTTGGTGATCCATAGCAAACTGGTTCCAAAACCAGAATTTAGGCTCAGTCTTTTAAACCTTCACCTAAAACTGACTGGATGATCTCAGAGGCCTGTCAGCAAACACAATTAAACATTTCAGACAAATAAAGAGGTGTGAGACTGTTAAAAGCTGAAAAAACTAACAGTTAAAGGTTAAACCCAATTCTAACAAACAAGAAATTAAGAATATGAAACAAGTCAAGGTTAAGTATAATATTTAACGTTTATCATAGTTGTTTTAATTCACGGCTGGTATTTTAGAGATTGTGTTTCTCATATTCTCAGCATTTTATCTAAGATCTGCGATTCTGGGCTGATGGCATGTTGTTGGTTTCTGTGAAACCCGAGCGTTTCAGAGAGCAGACCCACCCACCCGGATAACTCAGGGTAAATAAAGAGCAGCTTCTGAAATCTGAGCAAACAGGCTGAACTCAGTGAAAAGGTACAACTGCTGGGTTTTATTTCTCTGACCTTCCAAGGGAAATGTTTCACACTTTATACAGAACCCAGCTAAACACAAACACCTTTTAAAAATGGTTTTGTTCCAACTGACTCAATCAACGAGGAAAAAACCTCCTCTGTCTGGTTTCAGGGTGGAGAAAGTCACGATGTGCATCTTCTAGATTATCTGCATTTATCCTTTCAGTTTCTGTTTGTCCTGTCTTCCTATGAGGAAGGAAACATTTTTACCCTCCTCATGTCTGATTTTTAAAAATTCTTATTCATAGACGTATTTTCATATGTCTCTTCATTCTCTCTCCCCTTCATCCCCTGTCCTCCCTGTCTAGGTGGTACTATGGGAACATCAACCGTGTGAAAGCTGAGAAGCTGCTTCTTGCTTCCCAAAACAAAGATGGAGCGTTCCTGGTCCGCATCAGTGAGAGTCACAGTGATGAATACACAATATCTGGTGAGTGTCTCCAGATGCCTGAGTATGCATCTATGCATTTACAAACTCGCGTTTTTAAACAGATTTACATTTCATCTCTACAAAGTTTTATTATATATAATTAATTAGTTTGCCCTCTTATCGTCCCCATTTCCCCCTGCATTAATCTGAGCCTCACTCTCTGTACTTAAAGCTTTCACTTAGAGGCTTTTATTTTGTAAACTAACATGACAAACCAAAGGACTGTTCAATAACAAGAACTAGCAGAGGACAGAAAATGAAATAAATAAACCCGCAGAGGTTAAAAGAATGAATGCTGATGGAAATGACTAGAATAATAAGAGTCAAAATTCATAAACTAAATTCAACCATTAAAAAACGGTTGAAGAGAGCTTCACTGACATGTAGTGGTATGTTTCGGACCTGCTTGAACAAAGGTTCTGTCTCCTCTAAACTGAATCCAGAGAGAGCTGTCAGACATTTGGCTGCAGCAGATCAGATGTAAGAGGGAAAAATCCTGACTAAGAAACAGAGAATGATTTTAAGATGTACATCATCCTCATAAGCAGCCTTCAGATGACTAAGGATCAATCGTTATGGCTGTTGTTGCTCATTGGAAATCCAGTTTCAATGGTTGCCATGGTCTTGATCCACTGTGCGAAGGTTCTGCTTATAAGGCTGAATTTTCTTTAAGACTAAATAAGTCTCTGGGGAGAGACAAAACATTTAAAGAAAGAGGAAACGTCCTGGACGACTGACTCAACTTTTTGTTGTTGTTTTTTTTACCTGGATGCATCAGGGTGTTAATTTTACAGTCATCAGCATAAAAAGGAATCTGAATCTTTCTGACCTTTTCCTGTTGAATTAAAGATGGAATTTTAGTTCATACATTTTAGATATTTTCTTTACTTTCGATGTGAATAACCTTCTGCAAACAAGGTGCAGGGGGTTTAAAATATCTGCCAAGTTACCTTCTCTCATATTCTCCATAATGGATCACCATTATCCAGCTTTTTATTTTCCCATCATAGAGTTTATTTACATGCTATCATTGTCCACCTAGAGTCGTGTAAAATCATTAGGCACCAGAAGTGCAATGCCAATGTGGCAAGATATGCAAGAACACCAGAGGGCTAAAGATCCATCAAGCCAAGACCAAGTGTGGAAAGGAGGCAATTTTGTTGCAGCGCAGGGTGGAGACACCTCGTCAGACGCAGGAGAACCCCAGTCAGGAGGCACCCCACAGCACTGGAGATCTCTTGGCAACAGCTTTGCCTTTGAACCACACAGTGGTCAACTCTGATGCCTCCCAGCAACCTCAACCTGCAAAGGACAGAATAAAATGGCCGAAAATGAACAGCAACAAGGAGTGGCAGCAGCTGGATGAGGACCTCTGTAAGATTCTTGAAACTGCTCTGGTAGGTGCAGCAGAACAGAAGATGGCAACGATGACAGCAATCATCTATAATGTGGCCAAGGAGCGGTTTGGTGTCGAGGATAGGAAGACCAGTACTCCCAATGTCCGGCAACCAAATCGGAGGGAAAAGGAGATGCAGAGCTTGCGGAGAGAGATAAAGGCACTATCCAGGCAGTTCAAGAATGCCACCGAAGGGGAAAAAGAGGGAATTAGAGACCTAACATCAGGGCTTCGTGAGCAGCTTCGCAGGCTAAGAAGGGCAGAGCAGACACGGAAGCAGAGAAAGAAGAAGGGGGCAAAGAGGGCACAGTTCATCAAAGACCCTTATAGGTTCACTAAAACCTTATTAGGAGAGGCAAGATCAGGATCACTCAGCAGCTCTAAGGAGGAGGTTGAAGAGGCTCTGAGGTTGACTCACTGTGACCCACAGAGGTATGAACTTCTTAGCAGCCACCCAAAGATCATCAAGGTGCCACTCCCCTCAGAACCTTTGGTGACCAGAGAACCGACCTGGAAGGAAGTGGAGGAGGTGGTGAAAAAGGCAAGGACAGCATCAGCCCCTGGACCAAGCGGAGTGCCTTACAAAGTGTACAAGAAGTGTCCACTTCTGCTACGTAGACTTTGGAAGCTCTTCCGGACAATCTGGGCAAAGGGCAGCATACCAACTACCTGGAGAGTGTCAGAGGGCTGCTTTGTGCCAAAGGAGAAGGACTCTTCTGAGATCGGCCAGTTCCGCGCCATCTCTCTGCTGAGTGTAGAAGCCAAGATCTTTTTCTCAGTCTTGGCGAGAAGAATAACTAACTACATGACAACTAATGGATACATTAACACCTCGATCCAGAAGGGGGGGATTCCAGGGTTCTCTGGATGCCTGGAACACACCACCATCCTCAGCCATCTGATCCAGGAGGCCAGGGGGAGCAAGGGCAACCTAACAGTTGTCTGGCTGGACCTCGCAAATGCATATGGGTCCATGCCCCATTCTCTCATCAACAAGGCTATGGAGCAGTACCACATCCCCGTCAAGATCAGGCAGATGATTAACAGCTACCTGGGGTCATTCAAGCTGCGGTTCCAGACTGCCAAGTTTACCACCACATGGCAGCTACTGGAGAAAGGCATTGTAACAGGATGCACAGTATCCCCCATTTTGTTCATCATGGGGATGAACCTTCTGATTACAGCAGCAGCAGCAGAGGCCAAGGGACCAGTCACAGCAGCAGGAAGCAGACAACCCCCACTGAGAGGATTCATGGATGACCTCACCATAACAACCACAACGCATGTGCAGGCAAGGTGGATCCTAAAGACTCTCGGGGCTTTAGCATCGTGGGCAAGAATGGCTTTTAAGCCCAGGAAGTCACGGAGCATGGTGATAAGGCGGGGGAGACTAACAGAGGCTTTCGAACTGCATGTCCAAGGAGAGCAGATCCCTACAATCAGGGAGAACCCCATTAAATGCCTGGGGAAGTGGTACGATGACACCCTCAGTGACAGAAACAACATCTCTGACACTGCAAATCAGGCGGACGAGTGGCTAAGGAGGATTGACAAGTCAGGCCTACCCGGCAAATTCAAGTCCTGGATATACCAGCATGGGCTCCTTCCAAGACTTATGTGGCTGTTGACAGTCTATCAAATCCCAGTGACTGCAGTGGAGGGAGTGGAGAGGAGAGTGAATAAACATCTCAGGCGATGGCTAGGTATCCCTCCCAGCTTCACTGCAGTTGGGCTCTACATTAGATCAGGACAGCTCCAACTTCCATTTTCCTCTGTGGTGGAGGAGTTCAAAGTGGCCAAGTGCAAGGTCGCAATGATGCTCAGAGACTCAAAGGATGAGCAAGTAAGCAATGCAGGAGTCACAACACGAACAGGCCGTAAGTGGGCAGCCGACACTGCAGTCAGACAAGCTGAGAGCTCCCTGGAGTTGAGAGACATCATCGGTAGTGTCTGCATTGGTCGACAAGGACTGGGAACATCTCACTTCACACGGTGGAGGAAGGCAAGCGTCCAGCAGAAGCGGGAGATGGTACAAGTGGAAGTTCGTCACCAGGAGGAGGAGAAAAGGAGGGCTAAGGCTGTGGAGCTGGCGACCCAGGGAACATGGACCAGATGGGACCTCCCAAACAGAAGGGTCACATGGACTGAGCTCTGGAGGCTGGAACCTTTCCGTGTTAGCTTCCTCCTGAGATCCGTGTATGACACGCTTCCATCACCAGCGAACTTAGCCAGGTGGGGCTTGAGGGAGGACCCGCTCTGCAAGTTGTGCAGAAAGAAGGGGACACTGGCCCACATTTTAGCAGGGTGCCAAATCGCTCTGGCCCAGGGGAGATATAGGTGGCGGCATGACCAAGTGCTTCGAGTGATGGCTGACATTTTCGAGCAGGCTAGGAGAAGACCACAGCCAATTAAGCTGCAAATACCATCAATGCAATTCATCAGGGCAGGAGAAAAGCCACTCTCTAATAAAAGAGCCAGAACCAACATCCTCCAGGGGGCACAGGGGTGGGAGATGAAAGTCGACCTGGGGAAGAAGCTCACTTTCCCACCCATCGTCCAGACCACCTTGAGGCCTGACATTGTCATCTGGTCAGAGCAAGCCAAAAAGATCATCCTGGTGGAACTGACTGTGCCTTGGGAGGAAGGCTGTGAGGAGGCCCATGAGAGGAAGAACCTAAAATACCAAGACCTCATCATGGACTGCAAAGACAAAGGCTGGCAAGCATGGCTGTTTCCAGTGGAGGTCGGATGCAGAGGATTCCCAGCACAGTCAATGTGGTCTGTGCTCACTGCACTTGGAATATCTGGCAAGGAGAGGAAGACAGCTGTGCGCAGGATTGGGGAGGCAGCAGAGAGAGCCTCATGCTGGTTGTGGTTTAAGAGGGAGGAGGGGGGCTGGAGGCCTGGAGATGATGGGCAGTGACCTGGCCACCACTGCTGACCCGCCAGCTGGAGGGTGTAGCGGTTAAGGGTCGAAACACCCTGCGAAGGTTGGGCACCGTCTGATGACATCAACTCCAGGCCAAAAACCACCCACAGTCACATTAGGGAGTGACTGTATGTTAGCATCACATGATGTATTCAATAAGAGCAACCTATTAAATATTTTGTTCATTTAAACAGAGGAGAATACTCTCTAACTGAGGAAAGTATTAGGGTCTGTTGCATATTCAGCTTGTTTTAAGTCACCACAGTGAGATCAACATCTTGGCTTTACTATGTCCTAAAGTTTCCATTTATATTCTTTGTTAGTCTTTGGTGGCTTTACTCAAATATTCTGGATTGTTTTCATGTTCCAGATCTAAGTTTTATAAAGATGGTCTAAGATTTTCCTCAAGCAACCCATGGTAAAGAGTAGAATTTGATGGTGAGCTGGTCATGTCCTCCGACATCCCCAAATCATGATTCTTTATCTTTATGCTCAGTGGGATGTATGAGATCCTTCTCCACGAAAGCTGCATTTGATTCGATCAAACATTTCCACTGTTTTGGTATCTGAATTATTTATCTTTAGACGACCCCACCCAGGACACAGACCTTTTGTCCACCTCTTGTAGTCTAAGTGGCTGATTTGAAATTACTTTAAAATGTTTTACTAGACTCAAATGTCTCCTTTCCGAGGTTCTTTTAAGGGGTGCACCGATTGCAGGTTTCTGACCAATCACCAATTCCTGATCTTTAAAAAAAAACCCTGACATGCCGATACCGATTTAGATCAATACAGGTTTTTTTTTTTTTTTTATAACTGCCACTTTCAGTTGTTATAAGATCACAAAACACTTAAAATATTTCAATCTTATCTTCCTGAAAGGCATTAATCAGTTGGTGCACCCTCAGTTATTTTAATCTTATTTAATCTCACAATAGTGTTTATTCTCACTTCAACAACCAGGAGCAACCATGTTAAACAATTGAAAGGGTTTTTAAGTAGATTAATGATGATTTGAAGTTGAAATATTAAGGATTAAAAATCCTTAATTTATATCTTACCAGAAATTGTGTTTTAATTCATATTACAAAATACTTTTTTGTTATATTTTCTTCCGTTTTTGTTGTATTTACTGAATATTTCAGTATTTCCTAACTGTCTAAATACATTAGGAAAAAGAAGTCTCTTATAAGCTGTCCACAGTTTTTCTCATGATTGTTTTTTCCACAATTTTAATGTGGTCTAATGCTACGTTCACAGCGGACGCAGCAAGAGCAGCAAAATCGCGTCTGCTGCTTCATTTTTGCTGCTTGTACCAGTTAGTTCTGACGCGCGGCTGAAGCAGCTTTGCTGCTCTGGCTGCGCGGTGCAAAACTGTGTCTGACGCGCGTTGGGCGGAGCTTCACTATCCTTTCTCTGCCTTGCAGCTATATTTGCTGTGATCAGTGGGAATAAAGTAGTTTTGATACGTTTTAAAGTGAGAAAATCCCCCTGAAAACTTAATCATTGCTGTCAGTTCATCCAGATTATCATCCCGCCTTCCAATATTATTTCTGTTGGAGCCGCTCAGACCCCCACATACCAGAGATGCGCTGTCAGTAGGATCCCATTCAACAGCAGCCTGTGGCTGGGTTGCCTCCTCGCGGTTCACCGCGGCGGCTGGTAGGTGTTTTTCATCTAAATAATCCAAATTGTAGGCACCAGGATAATAAAAGCGAACATATTCTGCCGGCAGATTTCTGCATTTTAACTTAATTTATGCATCAATAAACTGTTTCAGAGGAGTGATCACAGCGCTCTGTGTCATCAGCGATGTATCTGTCTCACGGCCAGCTCCCAGATCAGCTTCTCTGATTGGTTGAGGCGGCGCGTCCAGCAGCAAAAGTTCATTTTTCAGCCATTGACTTTGCATGTAAACTCGCTTCTTCTGCCGCGCCTGCTGCGTCCGGTGTGAACGTAGCATAAAGGGGGTCTGTTGAAGTTTAGATGAAACTTTTTTTCTTTTTCTGACCCCATGTTTTAGCACCAGTCTCCAATGAACACATTTAGAGACACAATGATATGAACATGTCTGATTAGGCCTCTATAAATACAACCGCACTAATTGTTATCAATGTTTTGCAGCCCGAAGTGAGGGGAAAATATTCCACTTCAGGATCCAGCGCTCTGTGATCGGAGCTTATTTTATCTCAGATAAGATCTCTTTCGCCACCCTGGGTGAGCTGATCTCTCACTACCAGAAGAACCCACGCAGCCTGGGAGTGAACTTGATAGAGCCATGTGCCCAGCAGGTAAGACCCTCTGATATTTACACCAAACTGTCAACCTTCATTCTGCTCATAGGAAAGACCTGGATTAGTCTGAGGATAATAAATGTGTCATTATTACTACTTATTCTGTTTTATTTTAGGGGTTTATCTTACCTCTAAGTTATTTAATTAAATTATCGTATATATTGTATTTATTTTCTTATTTTCTTAAAACTGTTTTATTATACTTACAGAGATTTTTATTCCCTTTATCTAATTTAATGAAAACTGATCCTTCTTGTATTTTTTGTTTACATTTTGTTGTTGTTTTTAAAATTTCATTTCAGTAGGTTTTTTTTAGTAAAATTTATAAGTTTCTTGTGTTTTTTATCTTTTTTTTTTTTTTAAGTTGACATATTAAATCAGTTTTCAGGTATTTCACTTTACTTTCTCTCCAAACTGCTTAGTGCACTTAAAATGATCTCTAAATGCAGCATATTTGGACAAAATTCACAAGAAAAATTAGATTTAAATTAGAAGAAATAAACCCAGTTACAGGCAAGGTTTGGGCTCAATGGCTTTTTTTGATTGTAATGAATAACTCTTATTTTTATGCAAATCATTTTTGTTAAGAAGCTGTTTTGAAGTGTTTTCTCTGCATTTAATGTCAGATTAAGACCCACTCTTGCAGATCAAAGTCATATCTGATAAAAATATGTATTTTTTTTTATATTTCTGATGTAGATGTTCCCCTTTTTATATATTTAGTTATGACACACAACCGTGATGCGCTCTTAACACCTTGAATTGAACAAATATAATTCACATTAATATATTAATAATCTTCAAACAATCCACAACCCCATTCAGATTATTCATGCATGCAAATAGCTGAAAGGGCTAAAAAAACAAAGGTTGCATTTCATGATAATAATGCATGGCAGTCAGAGACGCTCAGCGTTCTTGAGGATCTGCATCAGCAAACAAAATTAGCTGCGTCTTACAATCAGAACATCTGTGCAAACATCTGTAAAACACCAGGTCCATCCGTTTAGAAACCTGATGGAATCTGGGTTGAGGAAACAGGAGAGAAACCATTATTTAGACAAATAAGACTCTCCTTCCTTTCATAAGATCATTAGACGGTCAGAACAAACTGTTGTTTCGGGGTTTGTGTTGCTCGAGTACTGAGCTGATTGTGCCTTAGAATAGCAGGAATAAGAAAGTCTGTTTGATATGATTTCTGTTGCTATTTTGGGGTTTAAATGTAGTCGGACCTCTTCTGTACTCCATGTAGCCCCACAGGATATTTTCATATCATTTAGTCTTCCGATTCAGGCTCTTAATTTGTTTTCCCTCTTCTTCTACTTCAATGCCTTCAGAATACAAACAAATCTCTCCAGGATCCAGATAAACTCTGCAGTAATAACCACGCCAGATTACAGCTTCAGGGTCACTTTCATGGTTATAGAATAGAATAAAATAGAATAGAATAGAAGTTTATTGATCTCTCAATGGTGAGATTCACTGGTGGCATCAGCTCTTATAAACAAACAGAAGGTTCACAAAGGAGGAGAAAGTGCATGAAATGTATACAGGGCATCCAGATATATACAGTGGATGATAAAAAATAAGGAAGGAGAGACTTAAAGTGATTTATATATACAGTATCTTTTGTATATTAAAGTGGTGGCAGGTAAAGTGCATTTTTTTTAGATAAATAGTATAAGTTATTGCAGTGTTATTACTCCAGCTTGTAGTGCAGTGGCATTGTAATGTCTGATGGCAGCAGGGGATGAATAAGCTGTAGTAGCACTCGTTTTTACACATGGGGTGTATAAGTCTGTAACTAAAGAGCTGCTGAGCTCCTCTACAGTTATGCTCTCCACAAGCCAGACTGTGGCAGAGTTAAAATCATTTTAAAGGCTTGGTGTGAACACAGAATCAATCTGGAAAGGCTGAAACACTTTTTTTTAAAGGGTTTCTTGGAAAAGAAAGCAGCATCCAGGACCATTGTTTGCAATAATCCATCTGATTAGACGAAAAGTCCACAGAGAAAAACATAAGGCTGTGTGTCCTCAACTTCAGTGAATCATACAAAATGAAAGAAAATATCATATTGGAATAAGCTAGGTTAAACTATCATGAATATCTTGGTTAGGCTTACATGCATCAATAAATAGGGGAAAACATGCAGAGCAGTTTGAGCATAAATGTTAAGACGTCGTCATTACGCAGCTATTTCTGCTCTGCAGCTATTTTAAACTCCCAGCAAGCTGCTTTCTGTGTTCATGGCTCATCAGTTCGGACCCAGCGGGAACCGGCTGCACAGAACCAGGCAGCTTTCCCCAATATCTGCTGGCTTTTTTTCTAAGCAGAATGGAAAGCATGATTACTTACCCATCATCTGCTCAGAAATCAGACTTTGAGGCAAACAAATTTAAAAGATAAATAAAAATAAAAATGTCGTTCATCGAAGAACAATCGGTGATTCCTCCCTCTTCTCTCTTCCCTTCCAGCGGAAGCGGAAGCTGTGAGTCTGAGGCCGTGGACACTGAAGCTGAAACCCCCTAATGCACGCACGTAAACGCATTATATGCAAATATGATCCTTCATACAGAGACTCTTTGCACAAACAGGGTACTCTCCAAACTGGAAAATACTTTTAAAAAATTTTATTCAAGATGAGATGAGCTTGATCTGAAGGGACTTTCAGCCTCGGCTCTCTTCATTCTTTGCTCCATTCTTTGTTGCATGTCAGCTGCATGTGCTGAGCTGGTTTGACCACTTTTAAAAGAGCACAGCTGAGGAATGTTGACACACGGTACATACAGGGAATACCATCAGCACCTGCATCGCTCCTGTTTGCTTGAGTTAAAACAGGCCTAAGGAAACATTTCCAAACCATCAGTAATTCAGTTCTTTACTGCAGCGCAAACACTGACATCAGATCACACTGAACTTCTCTTAGTTTAGGTCTGTTAGGGTTTCTAATGTCTGTCACAGCCTTCTGTTCCACAACAATAAAAACAACATTTCCAACAAAGGCCGTGGGTGGCAACAAGCGGTTTTTGGCTTTGCACGCACTTCTGACATAACTTATTTATTGTAAAGGAGAGACAAAATAATTACTAAAAGTGTCTTGCAACTTAGTCGTAACCAAAAATAAGAAAACAAAAAATAATGTTTAAATTTAACGTTTGAAGCTCTGAAAAAGTGGCAAATATTTTTTTTACAAAGCCTCCACCACCTGGTGTGTTCTTAATTACTCTAATTAATGAGAGGGTCTAACAATTAACAATGTAATCTAAATAATTTGAAATATAAAAAATGAATTACAAATGTTGGTCCTAAATTAAATGAAATATATTCTAACTACCCAAAGACGAAAACAACAAATTGACAAAAACAAAAATGACAAAAAAATTAGCATAAATGGCCACAACAATATAATTTCTTTGCCACATGCCAGAATAATAAGAGGAAAATCTTTTCAGATAATTATTTTAAAATCTTTTTCTTTAAAGCCAGAAACTTCCAAGATTTAGGATATATGACATCTAGTACTTGGAAATGTTTCTCACTATCCTAACTGACTTAAACTGAGAACATTCAGTCCGATTTAATGTCAAGCATTAAAGAACATAAAAAAATCATGTTATTTCTTTTTATTAGTGTGCATTTTTCTACAATCTACTGTACATCCAGCACCTGATTATAATCTGAGTTTTTTTTTCTTGTTTTCTTTTGTCCATAAGAAATATCCACCTTAAAAAAAATTTTTTTATTTCAATATTTTTTCTGTTTCATTTCAAAACATTTATTTATTTAAAAGTAGAATGATTTGTTTGAAATCTCTGCTTCTCAGTATGATTTCTTTGGTGTGATATTTTTTTGATGCATGTTGTTTAAGACTGAATACTGACGCTACCTAAACAAATGTTCTTTAATAATTTTCACTCCATTTAATTATTTATTTGATCTAAAAGTGCAAAATTCCAGTTTTTTCACTTCATTTCTCATTAATTACATTTTTCTCACTTTTCTTTTTGTCATATTTCTTTCAAGTAATATTTTTGTATTTCTCACAGACAAAATCTTATTAAATACTAATAGCAGTTTTCAAATGAGGATTTTTATCTATGGGGCGGAAGATAAGAAAAGGAGAAATACAAGAAATCTGCGGGGAAGTCAAACATTTTAAAACACTAAACGTATCGTACATTCTTAGTTCTTTGTTTTACAACACCATCAGCAATCAAATGAATTTTTTTTTTTTTTTTACTTTTTTAATAAACTATTCTTTAGATGTGGAGGACTGATCAGGTCACTGAACTGGGTTGAATGAATTTAATGTAGCAAACATGGTTTAAAGATTAGAGGGGAAGTAAAGATCTGTCTTAACCTTTTTAAGTTGCTTTTATTTCTTACCTTTTGAAAGTAGTTATCTACTTATTAATTATAAAGCACTTTTTAGGCCCCACCTGTCCTGGTCTTTGTTATGTAATATAATTTTTTTTAGTGGAGTGTTATCCTCCTCCCACGCTGGGCTCCCGTTGTGCTTGTTGTGTTTATTGGCCTGCTAACATGCAGACAAACAGTCTGTTGCCCTTAAATCAGTTTAGCAGCTGAACGCTCACACAACAAGTTCAAAATATCAAATGAGTTTATAGTTTTACCGGCTGAGAGTTCAGTTTTTTCCTCATATGAGGCTGGAGTTCAGGATCTGAGCCGTTTTTAGCCGTGAACGTTTGTCTTCAATCAGAAATTCTTACATTAGCACATTGGTTCTCATCCCATTTCTGGCTTTACTGACAGATTTCTTTGTTAATTTGTCTTTGGTTTAAATGTTTGATGATTCTATTGACATCTGTTGAAACTTATCGCTGAAGTAATCTGAAATAATCATAAAGTTTCAAATAATTGTCCTTAATTTCAATCCAAATATTGTTTTCAGTTTTGATTTTTACTGTTTTATATTTAAAATCAGTAACCTGTGTCTTTACTATTTATAATCAAACATATATATTTATTGATCTATGTTTGAAGCATTTGTTTAAAAAATTTTTTTGCTATATCATTTTTTTTATCACAATAAATGTTTCCTTTTGTTTTGACATTGTGCTCCTCATTTACTTTAACCTACTTTACCATTTTGTTACCAATATGTTAATGAACACAATGGTTAAATGTTGGGAAATCTAATTAAGTGATTATATATAAAAAGTTATTGCATTCAATTGTGTCAAACAATTATTGCAAAAAGAAATTATTAGTCAGTCTAGGTGTTCCCAGAGATTTTTTAAAAACATACCCGCATAAAGCCTGAGTGTTGATTCTGTAATCAATTAAAGGAGGGAGAATTACTGTTGTGTTTTTTGTAAAAAGAAAAAAAAAGAAAAGAAATAAAGAATCTAAAGAGAAGGAATGAAATGTTCCTTTTAACTATAGATGTCCCATCTGAAATAGTTTTCGGAATTCGGTCCGATATCGGCTCTATATTATCAAATAAATATCAGAATATATACGCCTGCCTTTAGAATCTCAGCTATCAGAAAGCTCATAAAAACACTTTCCTTTAATCTACTATTTTTTAAGTTTCTGTGACTTTTTGGCGAATAAGAAACAGATCTCTTCTTCTCATATCTAACTATTGTCTGTTCCAAAAATATCAAACCTTTTCTATCATTCCTCACTCTAAAATGTGAAAGATAAATGCTGATATAGAATTACGTTATTTTGGTATAAATAAATTGTTAAAGCGGCAATATCAGTATTGAATCAGAAACCCAAAAGTTAGATTTGGACACCCCTACTTTTAACTAATAAATGAAGTTTTAATCCTCTTTAGAGCTTCATACCTCAGCCATACTTTCCTGCAGAAACATGTTTTTTAGTGATTCTTTCCTCCATTTTACATTTCGACCTTGAAAAGAAACGACATTAGCTTTCCGTATCCACAACATAAACCATTACAGAGGCATAAACATTTACAGGTTTCTGTCCGTTTGAGCGGCGCATATGAACCTTTGCTTTGTAGAAAATTGTATATCTAAGGAAAAGACTGGAAGGGCAAACACAAACTGTAGTTCAATAGAAATAAGGATCATATGAACCTTCTATTCAAAATGGGGGTCTGAACGTGTCATCAGTTGGAGAATTACAAATATAGGTTCATGTTAGCTACAATAAAAATTTTGTAAAATAGTTCAACCCTTTATGTGAAAATTAAAAGAAAATAACAAACCTAATTTTCTCCATTACCCATTTGTGTTAATATAGCTTTACAGAAGAGATGAACCAACTTAGTAATAAACATATAAGGAAACGTAAGAATGTGAAACAAGTATCTTCTATCAGTGAAAAACAGTGAATGGCACTAAATCTCCATTTCCTTGTCATCAGGGTTCAAAGACTTTGCTGTTTATCTTTACAGTTTCTGTGACCTTAACTTTGTCTGAAGCGTGAAGGAAAAACAAAAAGTCCCTGTTTATTTCGGAGAATTATTTTAAAATCTTTTTCTTTAAAGCCAGAAACTTCCAAGATTTAGGATATATGACATCTAGTACTTGGAAATGTTTCTCACTATCCTAACTGACTTAAACTGAGAACATTCAGTCCGATTTAATGTCAAGCATTAAAGAACATAAAAAAATCATGTTATTTCTTTTTATTAGTGTGCATTTTTCTACAATCTACTGTACATCCAGCACCTGATTATAATCTGAGTTTTTTTTCTTGTTTTCTTTTGTCCATAAGAAATATCCACCTTAAAAAAAATTTTTTTATTTCAATATTTTTTCTGTTTCATTTCAAAACATTTATTTATTTAAAAGTAGAATGATTTGTTTGAAATCTCTGCTTCTCAGTATGATTTCTTTGGTGTGATATTTTTTTGATGCATGTTGTTTAAGACTGAATACTGACGCTACCTAAACAAATGTTCTTTAATAATTTTCACTCCATTTAATTATTTATTTGATCTAAAAGTGCAAAATTCCAGTTTTTTCACTTCATTTCTCATTAATTACATTTTTCTCACTTTTCTTTTTGTCATATTTCTTTCAAGTAATATTTTTGTATTTCTCACAGACAAAATCTTATTAAATACTAATAGCAGTTTTCAAATGAGGATTTTTATCTATGGGGCGGAAGATAAGAAAAGGAGAAATACAAGAAATCTGCGGGGAAGTCAAACATTTTAAAACACTAAACGTATCGTACATTCTTAGTTCTTTGTTTTACAACACCATCAGCAATCAAATGAATTTTTTTTTTTTTTTTACTTTTTTAATAAACTATTCTTTAGATGTGGAGGACTGATCAGGTCACTGAACTGGGTTGAATGAATTTAATGTAGCAAACATGGTTTAAAGATTAGAGGGGAAGTAAAGATCTGTCTTAACCTTTTTAAGTTGCTTTTATTTCTTACCTTTTGAAAGTAGTTATCTACTTATTAATTATAAAGCACTTTTTAGGCCCCACCTGTCCTGGTCTTTGTTATGTAATATAATTTTTTTTAGTGGAGTGTTATCCTCCTCCCACGCTGGGCTCCCGTTGTGCTTGTTGTGTTTATTGGCCTGCTAACATGCAGACAAACAGTCTGTTGCCCTTAAATCAGTTTAGCAGCTGAACGCTCACACAACAAGTTCAAAATATCAAATGAGTTTATAGTTTTACCGGCTGAGAGTTCAGTTTTTTCCTCATATGAGGCTGGAGTTCAGGATCTGAGCCGTTTTTAGCCGTGAACGTTTGTCTTCAATCAGAAATTCTTACATTAGCACATTGGTTCTCATCCCATTTCTGGCTTTACTGACAGATTTCTTTGTTAATTTGTCTTTGGTTTAAATGTTTGATGATTCTATTGACATCTGTTGAAACTTATCGCTGAAGTAATCTGAAATAATCATAAAGTTTCAAATAATTGTCCTTAATTTCAATCCAAATATTGTTTTCAGTTTTGATTTTTACTGTTTTATATTTAAAATCAGTAACCTGTGTCTTTACTATTTATAATCAAACATATATATTTATTGATCTATGTTTGAAGCATTTGTTTAAAACATTTTTTTGCTATATCATTTTTTTTTATCACAATAAATGTTTCCTTTTGTTTTGACATTGTGCTCCTCATTTACTTTAACCTACTTTACCATTTTGTTACCAATATGTTAATGAACACAATGGTTAAATGTTGGGAAATCTAATTAAGTGATTATATATAAAAAGTTATTGCATTCAATTGTGTCAAACAATTATTGCAAAAAGAAATTATTAGTCAGTCTAGGTGTTCCCAGAGATTTTTTAAAAACATACCCGCATAAAGCCTGAGTGTTGATTCTGTAATCAATTAAAGGAGGGAGAATTACTGTTGTGTTTTTTGTAAAAAGAAAAAAAAAGAAAAGAAATAAAGAATCTAAAGAGAAGGAATGAAATGTTCCTTTTAACTATAGATGTCCCATCTGAAATACTTTTCGGAATTCGGTCCGATATCGGCTCTATATTATCAAATAAATATCAGAATATATACGCCTGCCTCTAGAATCTCAGCTATTAGAAAGCTCACAAAAACACTTTCCTTTAATCTACTATTTTTTAAGTTTCTGTGACTTTTTGGCGAATAAGAAACAGATCTCTTGTTCTCATATCTAACTATTGTCTGTCCCAAAAATATCAAACCTTTTCTATCATTCCTCACTCTAAAATGTGAAAGATTAATGCTGATATAGAATCGCGTTAATATTGGTATAAATAAATTGTACCAATATCAGTATTGAATCAGAAACCCAAAAGTTAGATTTGGACACCCCTACTTTTAACTAATAAATGGAATTTAATCCTCTTCAGAGCTCCGTACCTCAGCCATACTTTCCTGCAGAAACATGTTTTCTAGTCATTCTTTCATCCATTTTACATTTCCACCTTAAAGAATGACATCAGCTTTCCGTATCCACAACATAAACCATTACAGAGGCATAAACACTGACATGAAGGATCTTTTTCTAATGGTTAAGGCTTGCTTTGTGGAAGCTTGAATTCTTGTCTGGGTTTCTGTCCGTTTGACCGGCGCATGTGAACCTTTGCTTTGTAGAAAATTGTATATCTAGGGAAAAGACTGGAAGGGCAAACACAAACACAAAAAATATGAACCTTCTATTCAAAATGGAGGTCTGAACGTGTCATCAGTTGGAGAATTACAAATATAGGTTCATGTTAACCACAATTAAAATGTTGTAAAATAGTCGAACCCTTTATGTGAAAATTAAAAGAATACAACAAACCTAATTTTCTCCATTAAGATTTTACCCATTTGTGTTAATATAGCTTTACAGAAGAGATTAACAACATTAGTAATAAAGATACAAGGAAAAGTCGAATGTGAAACAAGTATCTTCTATCAGTGAAAAACAATGAATGGCACTAAATCTCCATTTCCTTGTCATCAGGGTTCAAAGACTTTGCTGTTTATCTCTACGTTTCTGTGACCTTGACTTTGTCTGAAGCGTGAAGGAAAAACAAAAAAGTCCCTGTATATATTTTGCAAAAAGTTATCAAAGCAATCAGGGGACACAGCAGCTTTCACGTCTGCAGAGCATGCCCTGTAGGGACGGGGTTTACAGGCTAAATGGAGGAGAAAGACAAGTTTAAAGCATTCATCATGTTAAGACCGTATCTGTCTGTGGACATCCAGAAGAGTAGCATGTTTTACTTTCAGAGTCAAAAACTACCTAAAGAGCTATTTGAGCTTAAATCAAGAATTAGTTATGTTTAAATTAAGTGTGTCTGTTACTTCTAATGAGCAGTACTAAGATTAATGATCACTAAATCCATTTTTGAACCTAGTTAAAAATTCAAACTTCCTTTTTTTAAATGAGAAGATAAGTTATCTTTTTAGTTTAGTTTAGTTCTTGGTTAGTGAATGCCCTCTAGTGGGACTGTGAGGATCAAAATTCAAATCTAGATAACAGAATGCCAATAAATCTGAGGTTAACTCTGAGCGGCCGTGCTAACCAGAATCTATTTGTTTGTCTTTGTCCAGCGGGAACTCTTCGATATGGAGCCTTGGGAGAGACCACGGGAAGAGTTCCAACTCCATAAGAAACTGGGAGAAGGTCATTTTGGTGAGGTGTGGGAAGCTATCTGGACCAAAGAAAACAAGAAAGTGGCCATAAAGATGCTGAAACAAGGTGCAGTCCTTTAAGCAGTAGAATATTTATCAATGGTGTGCAGAACACATTTGACGTTTTCCAGAAAGGTATTCACTGGTGGAAAGCCGACATTTAATAACATCTTTGGTTTTCATCCAGTTTAGTTTAAACTATGCTCTGTTCTCTGACCAATACTACCAGAGCAGAGGAATGGTCTTTTATATATTTTATTGTTTTATATTTTATGCTAAGCTCACACAGAGATAAATACATTTGAATAAAAAGTAACTAAAAAGCTAAACAATCATTAAAATAAATAAGGAAATGATTATAAAGGGGAATAAATAAAGAAGGAAATAAAACATATTTATAGATATTTATTTCCCATTGTATAAAGTGATTAGACATGGGGTGTATTTTTGTCCATTTAATTGTATTCCTATTATTATTGAGAATTTATGTATTTGTGTTTTTATGTTTTTTCTTTTCTTTTCTTTTATTTATTTATTTTTTATTTTACCTTTATTTTACCAGGAAGTCCCTTGAGATAAAATCTCTTTTTCGAGGGAGACCTCGAATTATATTTTTTTGTGTTTTATATTTTTTTTGCTAAGCTCACACAGAGATAAATACATTTGAATAAAAAGTAATTAAAAAGCTGCAAAAATCATTAAAATAGATAAGGAAATTATTACAAAAGTAAATAAATAGAGAAGCTAAATAAAACATATTTATATATATTTATTTCCCATTGTATAAAGTGATTAGACATGGGGTGTAATTTTGTCCATTTAATCTATGCCTATTATTGAGAATTTATGTATTTGCGTTTTTAGTTTTTTTTGTCAGGGTTAGTCCTCCCTAAACACATAGAAGAAGAAACATTTTCCTATGCTTTTTAATCCGACAGATCACAGCAAACTTTAAAAATTATGCATGGTAACAAATCTGAACAGATCAACTCAGAAAAGGCTTTATTCTGCTTTCTTTCTCCTGTTTTTAGAGGACACAAAGCAGGATGAGTTTGTGAAGGAGGTTCAGGCACTGAAGAGCCTCCATCACCCAAAGCTGATCCAGCTGCTAGCCATGTGCTCCAGAGGAGAGCCTGTCTACATCATAACTGAACTCATGAGCAAAGGAAGCCTTAAGTCATACCTTGCCTGTGAGTACAAGCGCTTGTTGCAACCATGCATTTGAGTACACTAATCTGTGGCATTGTATGTGCTCACCCGCAATTTTGGAGAGGTGTCTGCGGAAGGTGGGGGGTCATATCTGCTTTAACTGCAACACACATGCAGATGACCTGGTTTATGAGCATACACCAGGTTATAGAGCATTCCTTCCAGTAGCTCAATTGCTTAAATAGAAAGTGTGTTACTCCTCTGTGTTTTTCTATTTTTTGACAGAGTATAAGACCTTGTTCCTTAATCGTGCAAAAGGTGCACAGATTGGGTATCTGCAGGCCAACTGTGCACCTCCAGGTGCAGGTTTATATTGTTAAAACACTTAACAGTACAGTATTTTATGGTTTATCTTTTAACTCGTCACTAGTATGTTATTCTTATACATTTTTCTAAGGTCCACATTTGTGTGACAATTTATTCTATACGATTTTGCTGTTGTAAACACCAAAATTTCCTCATTCATTTCTATTCTATTCTAAAAGCAGTTGATTTTACCAGGTGTGTCAGTATTCAAATTAAAATCACAACAGTAAAACAATCCTGTTGTTTGGTTCATAAAAGTCATATCCCTAATTGAGACAGGCTGCTTATAATATGTGCAGGAGATAAGGTGATCACATGTCCCTTCTGCGACATTGTTTTATGATGTGCTATCTGCAGAGCAATGATCATTCCTGCCGATTGACCTAAGAAGGAAAGTTAATATCATACAAAAGCAGGGCAGAGATCCTGTGAATGAGAGACTAACTCAATCCAACTTGTTTTAACGATTTGGTTTATTTGAACGCAATCCAATTCAGATTGCGTGCTTCAGTTCAAGGGTCAGCATCTGCCTGGAAGAGTTTCGATATGTCGGTGTCTTCTGAAGTGATTGTAGAAGAGAAAGAGAAGTAAGTCAATGAATTAGGGATTTTCCTGCTTCAATATAGGAGTTGTTCTGGTCTGTCATGTGGAAAAAAATCTAAGCCTAAAATGAAAAAGCTCTTAATTTACATGTGAAATTTCCAGCCCTCATCCACAGTCACCAGATTTGGATGGAGAACAAAGGAATGGCTCATGGATATACTGTAGGTGTCTGACATGAGTTTAATCAGTAGTGATGGCTGGTCTCAGACTTTGAGAAAATAAAAGAGGAATAATGCTAAGCTTGAAGTAAAGCTGCAGCTACAAAGTTTTACACCATTTCCCCTATGAACTGTGTACAGACCTAAAAGCGAAACAGAAACGTGTTAATGGCACAATACAATAAGATAAATATTTTATGCATTTATTGTTAACATGCATTTATACAGGTGTCCCAATAGACACAAAGTCTCAGCTTCAGGGCATCATACTAGTTTTGTTATGCTGCACATGTATCCTGCTAAAAAAACACAAAAAAGCAAAATAGCAACCCATTTGGGTTTGTTTAAAAATGCTACTTTTTCCAGCATTAGCGCCTCCTGTCAAACTTCTAACTGTATCCACACTTGATTGATCATGAAACTTTGTGTTCTCAGCTAATGAAGGCCAACTTCTGAAAACAGCTCATCTCATCTACATGAGCGGTCAGATTGCAGACGGTATGGGCTACTTGGAGGACCGACACATTGTTCACAGAGACCTGGCTGCCAGAAACATTCTAGTGGGAGATGATCTGGTCTGCAAGGTGGCTGACTTTGGACTGGCTCGGATAATCAAGGTGTGAAGGGTTCAACTGTCTGAAAAAGACAGCTCTACCATAAGGCTTTAGCTCCTTAATGCTTTGCAATAATTGCTGTTACTGTGTTTATCATGTTTAGACTTAGACTTAGACATATTTTATTTGTCATTTTGTTTACACAGGTGTAAAACAAAAATAAATTTCGTTTGGAACAGCTCTCTGGACAATTTCATCTTTTTTAAAAGTGCAGCTTTGAAAAATAGTAAAAAAATAAGTAAATAGATAAATAATAAAACAGTAATATAAACATATGACTGTGAATTTACAGTTTACAGCAACTTTTTATTTTATTTTTTTGAGATGCATTTATAAGTAATTTATCAAACTTTTGAGAAATGCTTAGGTCCTAATCCTTACTGGTGGTGACTCCTTCTTGTCTACTTAGCTCTAAAGAGTTGATCAGTTATTTGATTTCTGTTTTTGTCTCCTTTGTAAGAATAACCACAACTTCTTAAAGCTGCAGATTTAGTGACGAGCTTCATGACCTCAGGTCCAAAATTTCAATGTTCTGATGTGTGAGCCACTTTTACCTTAATGAAAACAACAAATCTTCCCTGCCTTGTGGAAATAACTTTCTTTAGGAAATGTTTTTCCATTTACTCAATGTTTGTTGGGGATCAGCTGCCAATGTTGTGTAGGCTCTGCACTGGTGAGGATCCTTGAAGCTGCTGTTGGACTTCCTCAGTCTTTTTTATTGCAGCTAATCCTTTCTGCTTGAACTTACAGAAGATGCAGACAACTATTTGTTTGCACGTAATATTTTAAGCAGCACTTTCCTGCATGTCTACATCCCACTTATGTCCCTCTTTTTGTAGCAATCACTCTACTAATTAGGTTTAAATCCTGTGAATTCAGTTACACTGTCAACTACTAACGTTGAATTTGCTCATCCTTCAACCCAAAAATACAGCAAAACTGACTGCAGTGCATTTTAGAGTTAAATGCCATAACACTTCTATCACCATCCATCTCTGCAGGACAGTGTATATACGGCCAGTAGAAGCACAAAGATCCCAGTGCGGTGGACGGCTCCTGAGGCCGCACTGCACCAACGCTTCTCGGTGAAATCGGACGTCTGGTCGTTTGGTGTGCTGCTTTACGAGATGATGTCACGGGGCAAAATGCCTTATGAAGGTGGAGTAGTCATTCTCTCCCCCTTCCTTTCATTTGTATAAAAAGCATTTTATTCTTCAAAGGCAAGGCCTGAAGTTAGTACACTTGATGAAATTACACAACAATCTTACAAACCAATACATAAAGAAATTTTCTTTTCTTTTGAAATTTTTTTATTTTTTTTTAAATAAAATCTCCATTTTGATCAGAGATTGCTTTTAGCATCTCTTATTCAACACTTTGTTCTTTCATTGCAACAGCAGCAGGTCTTTTAGGATTTGTCTTTATGTATTGATGCAAAACATTCTACCGAGTGAGACTTGATGGAGAGCATCTATGAACCTTCATTGTCTGCCAAACATTCACAATTGGGCTTAGATGTGGACTGAGGCAGTTATTAATTATGATAAAGCTTTGATATGAACTATTTCAATATATCACTGGTTTTAGTTTTTGAGCACAGCTGTCCTGCAGCTTTTATATATATTTCTAAATCACAGGACTGAATTAGCAGGACTACATCAAACTATTGTGCATGAGAATTAGTCAATAGAAACAAATATTTTTGATTTGTAACTCAAGCAATAGCTGCAGGACAGTTTCCAAACCCGTTTGGGTAAACGACCTAGAGAATAAATCCCCACAGGATGATACTGCCCCTGATGTGTTTCATCATGGGGACAATGGGTTTAAGGGGTTGTGCAGTGTTTGTTTTCCCCCCTCATATATTTTTGATGTAGACCCTAAAATTCGGTTTTGTTTCATCTCACCAGAGCATTTTCTGCCACGTCTCCTCGTCTCCTACCCTGTTTTTCAACCCTGCTCCTTAAAGTCCACTACCAATTAGGTTTTAGATGCTTCTCTGCTGTAAAACACCAGATTCAGATAATTATCATATATCTTTTTAGGAGTTACTGGATTACAGAAATCTGAAATGTATATATATTTTGTTTTATTTTTAGGAGTAATTAACCCACATTTTCCTTGACCCTGCATTAGTTGATAATAATAATAATTCATTTAATTTATACTGCACTTTTCACCAAAATTGCCTCAAAGTGCTACACAAAGCATTTAAAAAAACATTAAAAAAGAAATACATAGAGATAAAAGAAATAAAATAAAATAAAATAATAAAAGTTGTTTTAAAAGAGAAAAAGAAACATCTAAGGGGGACGAAATTTTTTTTGCTAAAAATAAATGTTTTAAGGCCTTTTTTAAAACACTCAGTGGACTGAGGTGCCCTCAAGGTGTCAGGGAGGGAATTCCACAGATGTGGGGATCCTAGCTGTAGAGTTTTGAATGTACTGAAGCCTCTGCAGACTCTTTTTAGGGATCCCAATGAGAAGTGCGTTGCAATAGTCCAGTCTGGAGGAGACAAAGGCATGGACCAGCTTCTCGGCGTCTGGGAGGGAGAGAATGGGACGGAGTTTGGAGATGTTATGGAGGTGGTAGAAAGAAGTCTTGCATAATTGATTTATGTGGGCTTCAAAAGTGAGTTGTGAGTCCATTCTTACACCAAGATTACTAACGGTTGATGAAAGCGGAATGTTAGTACCAGAAAAAGTGATGCTGGCTATGGTTAATGATTTAGTTTGATGAGGAGTTCCAACCAGGATGGCTTTGGTTTTGGAGCTATTAAGTTGAAGAAAGTTTTTCTCCATCCATACCTTTATTTCCTCCAGACAGGTGGTGAGTTTTGATGGGGATGACTGTGAGGGTGGGGGGTCAGCTGTGACATTTACATAGAGCTGTATGTCATTAGCATACACTGTAAAAAAAAAAACGGCCTCATTTTACGGTAAAAAACTGGCAGCTGAGTTGCCAGAAGTTTACCGTCTTTATACGGTAAAATTCTGGCAACCAAAACTGCCAGTTTTTTACCGTATTTCTAAAATACGGTAAAATTCTGGCAACCAAAGCTGCCAGTTTTTTACCGTATTTCTAAAATACGGTAAAATTCTGGCAACCACAGCTGCCAGTTTTTTACCGTATTTGCTAAATGCAGGATTTTACCGTATTTTTAATATACGGTAAAATTCTGGCAACCACAGCTGCCAGTTTTTTACCGTATTTGCTAAATGCAGGATTTTACCGTATTTTTAAAATACGGTAAAATTCTGGCAACCACAGCTGCCAGTTTTTTACCGTATTTGCTAAATGCAGGATTTTACCGTATTTTTAATATACGGTAGAATTCTGGCAACCACAGCTGCCAGTTTTTTACCGTATTTGCTAAATGCAGGATTTGACCGTATTTTTAAAATACGGTAAAATTCTGGCAACCACAGCTGCCAGTTTTTTACCGTATTTGCTAAATGCAGGATTTTACCATATTTTTAAAATACGGTAAAATTCTGGCAACCACAGCTGCCAGTTTTTTACCATATTTGCTAAATGCAGGATTTTACCGTATTTTTTAAATACGGTAAAATTCTGGCAACCACAGCTGCCAGTTTTTTACCGTATTTGCTAAATGCAGGATTTTACCGTATTTTTAATATACGGTAAAATTCTGGCAACCACAGCTGCCAGTTTTTTACCGTATTTGCTAAATGCAGGATTTTACCGTATTTTTAATATACGGTAAAATTCTGGCAACCACAGCTGCCAGTTTTTTACCGTATTTGCTAAATGCAGGATTTTACCGTATTTTTAATATACGGTAAAATTCTGGCAACCACAGCTGCCAGTTTATTACCGTATTTTATAAATGCAGGATTCTAAATACGGTAAAATACCGTACTTCCTAAAATATTTAAAAAAAAATAAAATGTGGTTTTGCCGTAGTAAATACGGTCATGCTGACTGAGGCATAATATCTCCATGAGTGAAAAACACATCCAGACTGGATGATATATTGACATTTTATTGTAAACCCTCCCCCCCAAAAAAAACTTATGGTAAATTACTGGTCTCTGTTCCTACCAGAATTTTACCATACAAATTATAGTACAACACACAAGGAAGTGTAACTTGTCAACCATTTCTATACAGAAAGTTATAAAGAAAATAATTTCTAATTAAACAAAAATACAGATTACGAGTAATCCACTTAAAGAAACAATTTCTATTTAAAAAGTCAAGTTAAAAAAAGAACTGATTCTATTTTCTGTCCAGTTTCCTCACGGTATTACTGAGATCTGGAAAACAGAAACAAAACAAACAGTATGTGTCCACATAAGAGATAACATATTGTAGAAGACAAAATGGTGATAAAAGGATTCTTGTTCTGGGTTGAGAGTCACAAGTCGCTGAGATCAGACGTTGCTCAGGATGGTTGTAGTCTTCCCAGTCACAGGTTGAAATTGAGACTCGCATGTTGTCAATCGGGTGTTTCCTCTCTGCTGGAAAACAAAAAGAAAAAGTTAGAAAGATGCACTACATGAACATCTTATTCGCTTAAATGTTTGTTTCACCTTTGTTGACTTGCATATGGACACAGGTACTTCAACCAGGTGGTGCAATCATTTCTGACTGAAAATTCAGTAGTTAAACCTTTGTTTGTTGTCAACAGGTGTGATCCTCTGGTCTGCAACCAGACAAAATACACAAACAAAAAACAAATAAAAACAAATATAACTGTTTTACGCAATTTATGAAATAGATACTCACCATTTATCTGAGTCTCATGAAGGCCAATAGGTTGTCTTCAACCATTTATGTAAGTTACATTTCCTGCAAGCTAGCAGAAACAAAGCTGTAAATGTGAACACTTTTCATACAGGCAAACAAATTGATACAGCTGAGACAATTTATGCTAGGTTAGTTTTTCATAGTCACTTTTGGTGCATTTCTCAAGTCATTGTTGGCATTTACAAAACAGTAAGCGCATTTCTCCAAACAATTTGTAGAAACAGGAAAAATAGCATTTGTTTGCTTTCAAAATCCTTAGTTCAGCTCTTAAAATTCTGTCTGTTAACATATCAGTGACTCAAAATAATAAGTTATAGTCTCTCTATGTACAGATAAGACAGTCAAATTGATTAGTCATGAGAAGAGACTACAAAAGGATCATTTACGCCAGTGTTTCTCAACCCTGCTCCTCACCACCCCCTGCTCTGCATGTTTTAGATGTGCCTCTACTCCAGAACAGCTGATTCAAATGATTGGATGACAATCAAGTACTGCAGAAGCTTGTTAATCATCCAGAGATACAATTCAGGTGTGTGGCAGAAGGGAAATACCTAAGCCTGCAGGACAGGGTGACGGTGAAGACCAGGATTGAGAAACACTGATTTACGCTTTTGCTATAATTTATTCATGGACCATGCCTTGGTGATTCAGAAAGAAAAAGACAGAAATGCAGAGAACAAAAAAAGTAGAAAAGGAGCCACAGGACAATCTCCTCAAGGAAAACTGTACAGTGCTGTAGAAATTACATTACATTTTTATTTCCATAGTCACTTTGTTCCTTAACTCCACTGAGGATCTTTTTTCCTCAGTGGGGTTAAGGAATGAACAGTAGGGTGGGAGGACCTCCATCAGCGTCATGTTGTGGGTCTCAGCCATGTCCTGATGTTGGACTGATGGAAACTGGCAGATGTCCTCAGCCTCTTCTGACTCTTCTTCTGCTTTCCTCCCAACTATTTCCTCCTCAGCCTCACTCCTCTTCTTCTCTCTGGCTGTTCACTCTCTCCAGATACTTGTTCATCAGTTCTCAGACATGTAACATTGTGTTGTGTTCTGACTATATAGAGCATAATGTTGCCAACTGATGGTTCACAAGATGCACCTCCAATCTGTTTCAGAAAACTGGTTGATCGTTGGTTGAGCTAATGGTTCATACACTGACCTGTTAGAGAAACTCAGGACTCACTTGGGAGCAATTTACCAATTCAGGACAGATTTAGAAAATAATAGAATATAAATTGACCCGTCTTCACTAAACCCCCAATATAAGCAGCTTAATTGAATTTTAAACACCAAATTCTATCTTGTATATTGTCACTCACCACAAAATGTGTGAATACTTGAGTTTTCCCTCTCCACTTGAATTTCTATAGCTTAAGAAAAAAAAT